TCTTTAATACATCATCTATACATTATATTGTGTGGACTGCCTTATGACCCAATGATACCACTTCTGGGAATATATTTTTTTAAAAAACTTGAAACATAACTCGGAAGAATATATGCATCCCCTATGTTTACGGCAGTAATATTTACAATAGTCAAGTTATGAAAGTAGACCTGTGCCCATCAGCAAATGGCTGGATAAAAAAATTGTGGTGCCCTGGCTGGTTTGACTCAGTGATCAGAGTAGCAGCCTGTGGACTGAAGGGTCCTGGGTTTAATTCCAGTCACGGGCATGTACCACGGTTGAAGGCTCAGTCCCCAGCCCTCGTCACCGAATGACTTCAGGAGGCAATCAATCAATGCTTCTCTCTCTCCCCCTTCCACTCGCTCTGAAAATGAAAAAAATATCCTCGGGTGAGGGTTTAAAAATAAAAAAGTTGTGTTACATTCACATAATGGAATACTGTGAAGCTGCAACACCAAGGACGGACTAGGAGGTATTATGAAAACTGAAATAAGCCAGATAAGAGAAAAACAAGCACCATATGATCTCACTGATATGTGGAATCTAATGAACAAAATGAATAAGCAAAATAGAGACAGATACTTTTGACATTTTTAGTCACCCTAGATTATATTGCTAAAATTAATCTATACTGTTGCATCTGCTATATAGATCACCTGAATCACTGTACAATATTTCAGTTTTCAAAAATAACCAACACATTCACTCTGTTGTTATTGGTATTTGCATTGTTCTTAAGTTTCTCTACTATCACAAGGATATATTAATCTTCTTGTATATGCATGCTGGTGAAAACATTTAAGAACTTTTAGAGTGTAAACCTAGTGTTATTGCTGTAATTTCTACAACGTTCAACTTTATATGATAACATCAAGCTCACAGATTTATGTCCCCAACAACAATTTATAGATTCACACTGTTTGACACTTAGTATCATCAAAATTCTTAACTTCTACAACTAGAATTGACATAAAATAGAATCTCACTGTGTTCTTTTATTAAAATTAGTGGCGTGACACTGATTAATAAAAAGTACAGGTTTCGCCCAGCCGGGCGTGGCTCAGCGGTTGAGCACTGACCTAGGATCCAGGTCATCAGGGTTTGATTCCTGGTCAGGGCACACGCCCAGGTTGAGGGCTGCAGCCGATCAATGACTCTCTCATCATTAATGTTTCTCTTTCTCCCTCTATTTTCCTCTCTCTGAAGTCAAAAAGATATATTTAAAAAACAAAAACTAAAAAAAAAAAAAAAATTATAGGTTTCAGGTATAGATTCCTGTTACAAGATCTGTACATTGCATTATGCGCCCACACTCAAAGTCAAGTCATCTTCCATCACCATACGTTAGGTTTCCTGCCTATATCCATTTTTAATTAAACTGTTTGTGGGTTTGGGTTTTTTTTGCTATTGAGCTGTATGAGGTGTTTTTTTTTTCTTTATTGATTTTAGAGATGTAGTGGGAGGAAGAGGGGCAGAGAGAGGAACATTGATTTGTCGTTCCACCCATTTATGCATTTACTGGTTGTTTCTTATATGTGCCCTGACCAGGGATGGAAACTGCAAACCTTGGCATTATTAGGACAATGCTCTATGCAAATGAGCTACTCAGAAAGTATACTTTCTCCCATTCAATAGGATGTCTTTTCATTTTGTTGATTTTCTTTGCTCAACAAAAGTTTTTAGTTTGATGAAGTCTCATCTGTTTTTATTTCTTTTGTCTTTGCTTTTAAAGGTAATATCCAAAAAATTCAAGCCCAAAACCATGTCAAGGAGCTTATCATCAGTTTCCTTCTAGAAGTTTCATATCTTATATCCAAATCTACTCCATTTTAAATTCCTTTCTGTGTAGAGTGTAGGATAATAATCTGATTTCATTATTTTGCATCTGATGTCCAATTTTTCCAAAAACAGAGGCTGTCCTTTCTCCTCTGTACATTGTTGGGTTGTCATATATCACTTCATCATGTATGGAGGGAATTGTTTCTGAGCTCCCTATTTTGTTGCAATCATCCATGTGTGTTTTCATGCCAATCCCACAGTTTTTATTATTCCATCTCTGTAATAAATATAGTTTGAAACCAGGGAATATGATGCCTCTAGCTCTGCTTTTCTTTTGTAAGACTGCTTTCACTATCTGGGGTCTTTTTGTGATTCTAAACAAATTTTAGGATTGCTTGTTCAGTATCTGTGAAAAATACCTTTGGGATTTTGATAGAGATTGCATTAAAACTGAAGTTTGCTTCAGGCAGTGAGGATATTTTACAATATTAAATATTCCATCCATGAGGACAAAATTCCTTTCCCCTTATTTGCGTCTTATTCCATATTTGTTTTTATCAATGTCATAATTTTCAATGTGCAAGTCTTTCAACCCATGGGTTAAATTTATCTCTAAGCATTTATTGTTCTTGTTTTTTCTTCCTTTGTGGTTTGATGACTTTCTTTAGTGGTATGCTTAGAGTCCATCTTTTATTCTATATCATTATCTTTTATGATACAGATTTATCTGCTACAGATTTTGGGTTTGTGGTAATTATGTACCTTACATATAAAAGTCTTGTTTATAATAGTCTATTTTTAGTTGATAAGTTATAATGCATTCTAAAGCTCTACATTTTTTCTCCCCACCACACATTTTGCTTTTGATGTCACATTTTACATCTTTTCTTTTGTTTCTCTCTTAATTGTTGTAGTTACTTATACTACTTTTTGCCTTTTAAGCTTCACACTACCTTTATAAGTAATACATTGCCATTCATAAATATTTACCTGTACTAATGACATTTATATTTTCACATTTTTTAGTAATTAATGAGTACTACCTCTTCTCAGTCCCTTTAATATTTCTTGTAAGGATGATTTAGTGGTAATGAACTCCCTTATCTTTTGGTTGGAAAACTGTTTATATTTGCAACTGACTGGTAACTTTGTCAGTAGAGAATTCTTGGTTAGAAGTTTGTTCTTTTGGCAATGTGACTGTATCATACCACTTCCATTTGGATTGCGAAGTTTTAGTTAAAATATCTGCTGAAAGTCTAATAGGATTCCCTTGTACAAAACAAGTTAATTTTTTCTTACAGCTTTTTCACTACTTGTTCTGTGTTTTACATACAATGTGTCTTGCTGAGGGTTTCTTCGTGTTCTCTTTTGGAACTCTCTGTGCTTCCTGGATCTGGATGTCAGTTTCTTTCCCCAGGATAGGAAACTTTTCAGCCATTCTTCTTCAAATCAATTTTCTGCTTTATCTTTCTTTTTCTTTCTAGGTTCTCCTTAAAATGCTAATATTATTCCACTTGATGTCATCCGTTGTTTCTTAAACTATCCTCAGTATTTTTACTCATTTTATTTATTTATTTGCTGCTGACACTGGCTAAGCTCTACTGAACTGTCTTTTTCACCTTCACTGATCCATTTTTCTACCTGATTGAGACTGTTGCTGAACTCTTCTACGGTAGTTTTTGTTGTCTTTGCTTCTGCATCTTCAATTGGTACTATCTTATATTTTCATCTTTGTTGAAGCTGTCACTGTGTTCAACCATTCTTCGCCCAAGTTCAGTGGCCTTCATGACCATTACTTTAAACACTTTATTAGGCAAATTACTTCTATTTCATTAAGGTTTTATACAGATTGTTTTTCCTGAGGTTTTATTCTGATCTTTCATTTGGAATATGTTCCTGTGTTTCCTCAGTTTGCTGACTTTCTATATTTTTCTATGTTAAGATGAAACAACCCCTGTCCCAATCGTGAAGGAGTGGCCTCATGTACATGAACCCAGTGTTCTGCCCTACCTTAGCTCTTGCTTATCTCTTGAAACTTTATGACTGATCAAGTATCCCATTTTATTTTTAATAGCTACCAGTTTTGAGGGTATGTGAAGACCTTGTTCTCCCAAAGAGTGAAGGAGGAGAATCTCAGTCAATACCTAGAAGATGCCACATCCTCAACCAACAACTTTTAAAGCTGCAAATATATAAAGCCCTGTGGGAAAGTAACTATATAAACCCTGATGACCACTAGACCAGGAGATCTGAAAGTATCCCCTAGGTGACAGTCAGTAAAATCAGGACTCCTTGGTAGGATATACTGGAAGATCTGGTGAGGCAGGGTGGGAGTGCAAAGACTGCATCCACAGCCTCCATTCCCTGAGAGTACACACCTCTTGGAATGCACCTGTGCCAAAATTCCTACACAACCGAGGAGGCATCTTTCTCAGGAAGACCGAAACATTTCAGTTTGATGTCTGTATAGTATCCCTGGGAGTGTTATAGTCTGCCAAGAGCTGTCTCTCTGGTTGTTACAGTCCTATGGGAACCAGAAATGCAAGACCCCTGGCTTCTAGAGCCAGACAATGAGTTGTGTCCTCAAGGCAGCAGCTACAAAAAAACCAAGGTATCAGACATCTGTTAAAGCTCCCCTCCCAGAGATACTAGCATTGTGGAGCATAAATCAGGTAGAGTACAAAGATGATGCCTGCTTAGAAAAAATAAAAAGATGTCTCCCACTTACTTTACCAAGACTTTAGCAAGACACAGGAAAAGTGCAAAAATGGCACCCTCCAGTTGTCTTTCTTTTTTTATACTCTATAGAGTAAAAAGGTCAGTACCCCTGACTAGTCAGGTATTGGCATGTCTTAAAATTCTTGAGGCACACCAATGTGCCTGCCACAGCAAACTCACTGAAAACTGGAATAGTACACTATTTCATATAACTCACAATTTCAATCCAAATGATTAAAGCTTTTGCATCTAATATTCTTTCATGTCTAGAATTTCTAATTTTAAATATGTAACACAGACTCCCAACAGATAGGCATGTAAACATACAAATGTAAATGTTGACCTAGAAATGTTTGAGGATGACTGAGTTTTAGATCTATTTCATATCTCACAAAGCATTATAATGTTCATCATAACTTATAACACAAGGCAGATGCACATTTTGGCATAGTTTATCTGGGTCTTGCTCCCTTAATACTCACAAGATCGGCATATTTCTTACAGAGAGCTGCCAGCTTCTCCTCTGGAGTTGAGAGAGTATTTAAGGCTTGCATCAATAATAATACTTCTTTTCCTGATAATTAATAAAAGTACCAGAAAATATAATTAATCCAATCTGTAAACTGTACATAAAACTTATGTTCAGACATCCAAAATATAATTTAAGGCTATAATTACATACAGAGATTCACCTGCTAAAGTGCAGAAACTATTTTCAAATTATGATTTAATAGCCCCACATGCAAATTTCTTCACTTACCAACTAACACTGGTAGTTTTTACCTAACTGGCATTTAAACAGTAAGAACACTTATTGAAAGTTTAAAAACACCTGCCAAGTCACTGATTCCAAGTTAAGATATTTTCCAAAGCATGGGAATAGTTTTTAAGAACTTCCTCCTATCAGGGAGAAATATACAAGAAAGTTGAAAAACCCGTTCAAAAAGCAAGTACTTGTATTCTGCCTATATATAAACTGCATGTAATCCCTTGTTACACAAACTTTTTCCTGTGACAAATCTGAGTTGTAGCTGTTTTCTGATGATTTACTAAGCATAATCTGGGTGTTAACCAAGTATAGTGCCAATAGAAGGAAGACAAATTAGCCCATCCATTGAGGAAGGAGTTTTAAAAATGGTACTTTAAAAACTTTGGTGGGGAGAAGCTTTAATCTAAAGAAAACTTTGACATGTGGTATAGTTATGGGTATGTGAGGGAGGAACAGAGTGACTTCAAAATGAATAATTTCCTATACACATAAATTTTAGTACTAAAATCTTTTCTTATTTAAATTCAGGTACAAATAAAAAGAGGAATATAATTACCAAATGTGCAAGAAGTAACAGTAAAAAGTAAATTAAAATTTTCTGAAGATTTTAAACTCTAACCATTTAAAGCTAAACAATTTTAACCTGAAACTGTATTTTACAAATACTGTTGGGGCTATAATTTCTGAAGATATTGGTCTTGTTTACAAGAGATTATAAACACTTTTCATACTGTTATAAATTTTAAAAGTCCTTAGGAGTAGTAGATAAGTCAGTCAAATCAGAAAAGATAACCGTTACAAAACTGAGGAGCAACCACTGAGGCAAAATATTACCATATTTAATTTAGTACATTCTTATTATTAACCGTCAAACTAATACAGCAGACAAGAGAAAAACATACCTTGCAATCCAATCTTATTAACCCACTCTCTAAACAACAGGTAAAATATATCCTTTCTAAATTTTAGTGAATACCCTTTAAATAAATGAAGCAAATATAGTTTTAACAGTAATCACTGGATAGATGATTTTAAAAGATTAAACAATGAGGCAAATCAAATACCACTTCTGCAAAACTAGCCATATATATTTTCAGGAAAAACAATTCTTGATTATTCAGAGAAATAACTAACATTCCCATAACTAAGCTTCCTGGACATCTCCTTTTTTCACCTCCTGCAAATTGCAGCAGACACACACACTGATCTGACCAAAGAAAATAGATGGAGTAGCTAAGTAACATCTACCTGAAACCCAGCCACATTCCATAATCACATCTGCTGCAGAAATATAAGTAAATGAGCTATATATGAAAATGTCCAACCACTGAGCAGAGATTATTACCTAAGGTTTTTTCTTTGTTCTTGTTGCACTCTAAACCTTGTGGACTATCGGAAGGATCTATTCCAGCTTTTGGCCCAGGAGGCTTCTCTCTTGACTCCTGCAAGCAGTATACTCGGCTCACCAAATTCCTGTTTTTTGTTATAAAGTCACTGCCTTCTTCCTCTTCCAGTGATTGTTTGTTACCTGTGCCACCACAATTTGAATCATGATGTTGAAGAATATCATTTGATTGAGAGTTACACAACAAATCTGCTTTTACTCCTGGTCTGCAAATTTTAGATTCTTCCATTGTGCCAATAACATGCTAGAAGAAATAACAGAAGGAAAAAAACATTAAAAAGGGGGTTTAATCAAATTTAATCAAGGGAGGAAACTTAAGCAACACAGAAAAAAATCATTTTTTATTTTACTTTGTTCATGTTTACATGTACTTTTTATTTTTTGTACACAGTAGAATCAACAGGCATAGATCATTTGACATGGTTTTCCTCTTTCATAGTTTTTTACACAATAATGATGCTTCTCTGAATCAAAAAAGGGAAAAGAAGGGGAGGGACTATCATAATGATAGATTAGAAACCTCAAGATTCTGTGCCTTCAACAATGAAGTGCTGGCAGGATCTATCAGAATCAACTTTTGAAGAACTCTAGAACCTTCTGAAAACTTACAGCACAAAATAAAAACTTACAGCCCAATAGAAAGTTTAGTGAATAAAAAAGAACTTGCTTTGCAGTAGGAGAGTGCCGTGCAATTTCACACTTCCTGCCTCCCATTCCCCACCCCCCAAGGTCAACAGCAGCCAACACTATTTACTAGTGCAGGCTAATAGTGCCAGAGGGAACAATACAAACATTATTCTGAAAACCTTATGGTCCCATCCAACATTTCTGACCACTACCTGAGAAACCTGTACATGAATCTGCATTTGTTTCACCCTGTAGACAGCTGTCCCTGGAAGCTTTTAGGTAAAAACATTCAACACACAAGTACTGGACCAACTCTCCCTCTCTTCATGTTCACTGATTTCTCCTTGTGTAGCCTGTGTACACTCTTGACATTAGTCCCCTTAAGAAGTAAGATGGCTGTGGTTGAAGCTGAGGTCTGCCCATGCCTAAATGGAACCAAAGGCTAAAGATATACATCCTATATGCAGTGAAGAGGACTCAAACTTGTAAGGTTCTGTTGGAAACAGGTATCCAAGTCACTGTGCCAATGTTGGGGGAAGATGTTGATCATGCTCTGTTAACCGTGATGTGAAAGGGGGGAGAGGACCTAAAAGAAATAAGACCATAGTTGTTTAATGATTATTCACCTTGCTAACTATAGATAAGTTTTCCTACCGTCCCTGGAAAACTGGAAGATATGCTGCAAGAAGGAAAACAGAGCTGTAAAGAGACACCTTGGGGCCTGGATGGGTCCACTGCTCAGAAAAGAAAATGCATTTTGAGAACAAAGGATAGGATGCCCTTTGATTTGGTTGCTGTGCCTAGAGCCTGACCCCCCCCTTCAGGAGTTTACCTCAGGAATGCTGACCATTCACAGGTCCTAGGGCCTGGTGGGACTGGGTTTTATTTAATACCTTCCACCACCACCCCCTTGCATGCAGCCCTATATAAGCAGCCAGGTAAGAAGGGAAGGGGAGAGCAGATTTTATGTGGACAAACCCCATTTTGGCCAGCAATAATGGAATAAATGCTAAAATGATTCAACCCTGTCTCTGAAAATTGGCTGATGTAGCAACAGGCAGCTCTGACTCATTCTATTCTGTTCAGTTTCACCATCTGGTTCTGTGGGAGAAGAGGTTATTGAATTCAACTGACGGAATTTTGGGCAGTACTATTATTGTGTGGAACCTCAGTTCTGGAACTTAATTCGTTCTGGAAGCCTATTCAAGAAGCGATTTGTTTGCAAACCAAATCATTTTTTCCCATTAGAAATAATATAAACTGAATTAATCAGTTCCAGACCCCCAAATGGTTGTTTTAACTTTTCTTATATATAGGACATGTCCAATGTATTGTTTAATGTATAAACACTTAAGTTTATCAAACCTAAATCAATTTTTCATATATCACTGCCTCCAAAATGCTGTCACTGGCCAACTGCTTTTTTGTTCATCAAAATAAACAACAGTTTGTCTACCTATTCAATTGCTAGTGATTGTTGTTTGGTGAGCATTTTCAGAACCTTAGCTTCACACATTAGTGCTCTTTGCTTTTCAGAGTCTGGGAGGGTTGAGGGCAGAGAAAGAGAACATCAGTGTGAGAGAGACACATTTACTGGTTGCCTCACACACATGCCCTGATGAGGGGCAGGGAGTGAATCCATGGCCCTTGGGCGCACAGGCCAATGCTCCACCACTGAGCAGCACCAGCCAGGGCAACACAGCATTCTTGATGGCCTCTTTATGTTTTAAAATTGTGCTAATCATTTCTTTTTCCAGCAACAAAAGCTTTCTCTCTGTGTTGCCTAAAAGGCACTTTTTGTCGTGCTGAGGTGTCAGCAAGAAAGGGCTGTTAGGTCAAAAATCAAAGTTTTGTTCCATAACCAAAACTTTTCCCCTCATGAACAACTTGGTCCAGAACTGAATTGTTAAAAGATAAGAGATGTTTAAGAACTGAGGTTTGACTGTATCTCTATACCTGAATGTATAGTACAAATTACTATACATATACAAATGCAAATTACTTATGAAGTGTAATAAGCTTTTACTTAACCATCCCCTAAGTGACAGTGGAAATGCTCTCCTCTGAAAAAGCCGTAACTAGAGTCCCTATGGGGCTGATAAACTCTGATTACATAAACACAAGCAAACAAGAGCAGCCATCCAGATATACCAGGTATATTGAAAAAACAGCAGTTAGCTTGTCTCTACACTCTTGCTAACAATGAGCACTTAAACCAATGGAGCCCTCCTGAATCTATAGCCTGATATTCTCCTTTTGGGGTGGGTCAACTCAGTCCATAAAACTAATCATTCAGAAAGGACCCAACAAGTTTCATTTGTTAAATTTAAATGGTACAATCAAGAACTTACCCAGCTAGACCCAACAGAATCTCAACTTTATGCAAAAACAGTGTCCATTATTGTTTTGGGTATCTGTTGCCTATAAAGCAAAGTTATTGGACTAGTGGGATTAACAGAGGCTCTCCAAATGCCTAGGTCTGGTTTATTGATGGTTCAGTTAAGCTGTAACCCAATAGTGTCCTGTTGACTGCTGTTGCTGTTTTGCCTAAGCATCACTTATAAAGAACCAAGAATAGACATGACTGCTCTGTTGGGTGGGCAGAACTCATTCTCATTGCTCTGGCCTACATTCTTCCTGATAAACCTTGGAACAGTCTAGCTGTGTGGTCTGCAACTTAGAAAACTACACCGACTGTCAGATTGAAGACTTCCCTCTATAGGATCACAAACTGGGGAAATAAATCACAGCTCCTAAATGAATTATCTGAGTTATTTACATAGATACCCACACCAAGTAAAATCAAGTACTGGTCAAGCCGGCACTACCTAGATTGCTATGATTGTTAGCTGGCTTTCAGTCACTGCACTGTTCACCATCAGAGATTGGGAACAAAGAAAAGGATTCTTCATTTTTTATGCAGGAGCTAATATTCCATGCCACACTTGTGATATATGCTCAAAGATCTATCTGCAACTTTAGCTGAAACGATCAATGGATAGCATTCAGGTAATTCTCAACTCTCTGGCTAGTGTTATCAGTGATGAATATATCTTGCTGTACCTCTGACCAACAGCTCAGGCAAACTAGAAAGGTCAATACAGAGCCTTAAGAAAGCTGTCTTGCTTTCTGAGGTAGACTCTAATAATTTATGAGATTTATTAAGCTGGTTTAGTCTGGAATTCTTGAGGATAGAGTTGAAGTCAATCCTGCAACTTGGGTTCTTCCTGAAGCTGGAAGCCTGTTGATGGTATCCTATGAGATAAACTCAACAGATGTTTCCAATCTATGTTGGTCAAATTAAACACTGTGAGCTGGAGATGTATACTCAAGGGAAAAGTCACCAGGGCCCACGATAGTGTTTCTGCTTCTCCTCTGAGCACAAGCACAGACTGTCTTTGTCTCTGAATACCTTTTCAAAGGTGCCCATACAGTAAATAGCTTTGGAAGAAACAAGAAATGTCCACCTCTAAAGCAATGGGCAAACTTGCTTACTGCCTATATGTTTCTGACTGCCACTGTAAATAATTACCACAAGCTTACTGGCTTATCTTATTTTTCTTACATTCCTTTTGGAGGTTTTATGGGAGAATCTGTTCCATTGCATTCTCCAGCTTCTAGAGGTTGCCAGCACTCACTGGTTCCTAGCCCCTTCCTCCATCTTCATATCCAGAAACAGCAAGTCAAGTCTTATGCATAATGTCATATTTCTGGATCCCACGCTTCCTTTTCTCTTTTATTTATAAGAATCATAAGAATTGTTAATTTCATTGTTTCACCCTGACAATTCCAGAAAACACCTTAAAACCCTAGTCTATGTTATCACATCTTTGTAATTCCCTTTCGCCAACTGGATCATTCATAGGTTTCTGCTTAAGACATGAACATGTTTGAACAGCCACTATTCTGCCCATCACATAGCCCATTATAAAAGTATCTAAACTTAGGATTACTCTTCTCTAATGCAAATTATCATCTGGCTCTCTTTACAGCACACTTTAGGAACAGAGGCTCAGGAAACAGGTGTAAATGCATACACTGGTAAATGTTGTTATAACAAAAAAACTATCTTTTGTCTTCAGACTTCTCCCAGTATTCATAAACTATGGAAAAATTAATTGTCTACAAGTAAATTAAACTCTCTGAACCTTCACAGTTTCTTAGCCCTATGATTATTAAGATTTGGGTATCTGCCAGACCCATTTATAGAAAAATGAATGAAATAAGTCCATCAGGATAAATAACTGACAATATGTTATAATAACGTTCCGACTTTCAAATGAAAACCACAATTTTGAAACATTTCAATCAGCTATATGACTTTAGCAGTTTCCCAGTACTTAAAAGGCTATTCTGATGAGAATGGTATTGATATTAAGAAACTTAAATTTTTAATATTGTATGACAATATTTTGAAGATCTACACAAATCAGTCAATCATTATTTTCCAAATGACCATGCATTACAAAATGACTAAAAGGTGTAAGATCCACTTAAAGCAAAAGAACAGACCACTGGATTTTAACATAACATGTTAAAACAAATGCAATGACAGGGTTTAAGATTCTACATTGCAATCCTCAGTAATTTTTAAGCAAATTTTAAGTGAAATTAAGT